TAACAAAGTGCTTCTTCATCTTAGTACTGAAAGTTTAATTATTGATCTAGGCCTGAACTATTAGGCTAATTTGTGATGACTTAGTGGCACTTGTTGGGATTTACTTTTTCATATTTTAATTAGTCTCATGACATGTATATTTGTGTGTTTGATGTGCTTAATATTGTCAAAGAAGATGTATAAGATTAATAATCAGTTGAAGTTGATGTTTTAACGGATGCAATGGAATTTTTTGGCATTGTATTTGAAACACATCTAAATGATATTTTGAGAATTACAAATGAATTATAACAATTTTAAAAACTGATTTGAGTATTGAGATTACGAGAGAAGTAATGCAAGTATTCTAGCAACGATTGCAAATGATGAGGGAGAATGAATATAATTCTTTATTGAATGAAGTATCACATTTATGTAGTGTTTGTAAATTTGATGTTCCGATTATAAACTTTACATTTAAGGCTTATTTTTGGTTAATATAAAAAAACCAAAGAAATTATCTTATAATTATTTTATATTATAATTGACATGCAATTTTTATGAGTTGATTGATCGTTTCTCTGAAGCTAATATTGAGTTGCTTTTCTGCTTGGTGCATCTGAACTTAAGGGATTTATGATCTACTTTTGATAACTATAAATTAATTTGTCTTGTGAATTTATATTCAAGGGATTTTTAATAGTTAAGCTTGTGATATTTAGTTTTGATATGTGCACTGGTGATGAATCCTCATCTCTAAATAGAATTGGCGATCTTGAAAAAACAATTATTAAGTTAAAGAATGATGTGTGTTGTCTGGCTTACGAGCTTATTACATAGGAATCAACTTTATCAATTGTTATTGCTATAATGAAGAGAGATTTTTTGGCAATGAGAATTGTGAAGCATCCATTGCATAGTAGAGTAGGTGATTATTGTCTAATGATTGTCTAATACTTTTATTAATAAAAAATATTTAACTTAATTTCTTATAAAACTATTAAAAAATATTATCAAAAAATAGAAAATAAATTGAAAATTTTTGTAATAATTATTTAATTCATCCATCATAATAAAATAAAAATTCTGTTTTAAGTTGTATATTATTTATTTATTTATTTTACTTTATTTTATGTATATTATCATAAAATAAGCTTGTCCACCCTAAATTATTGGTTGATGCTACCCTAAATTGATGGCATTCTTTTCTTAAATCTATCTTAGAGAATACAAATGTACCATCTAAATGGTAAAATAATTTATCAATTTTATTTTTCTCTCTGCCTTTGTAGGAACTATATATATATTTTTTTCATTCCATGTGCAATTCACCGAATGTATTCTTGAAGATTTCGAATGTATGAGAGAAAATTCTTATTGTAGTTAAGAACCTCCGTGTTCATAGGAGAGCTAACTTTCAAGTTTATTGCAAATTCCCTTTACGTTCAATTTTAGTTCTATTTTTGTATCATATATTGATTTTTTCTCTTCTTTCATATATCATTTTGAGTATTTATTTAATGTCATTTTACAATCTTTTTTTCTTTTTAGTCGTATTTACAATATAAAAAGTTATTTATTAGTGTAAAATTTAGTATCCTCCTATCGTCTCCGTTGCAAATTGAACATCCATGAGGAGTTTTGGTCAACCCACCACACTGAGGAAGGCATTTATGAGTCTTTGTTTAGGCGAAATACCCCAAGTATAATGAAGTTGAACTCACAAATATCTAATTTTCTTTTTGTGCAACTGTTATAATTTCATCAGAAATTATAAAGCATGCTCGTATGAGATCACTCTCAGGATGGGGTGATCACCTAGGAAGTTACACCAATGGGATAATATTGTGATGCTATTAGGCCAAAGTGGATAATATCTGAATAGTTGAGAGTTCGGGCTATTATAAATGATATTTATAGAAAACAAAGTGCTATGCTATGAGGCCACCTCTTGAACCCTAGATGAAATAAAAGTGCTTCATGGTGAGAGCAACCTCTTAAATATGTAGGGACGGCTCCTGGAATCTTATCGACTTGATGGATGATTTTGAGTTAAGAATACTAATGAGAATGGTGGTTACTTAAATGGGGGTGACTATGGAATCTCTTAAGTAGAATGAAATTGAACTCTTAAACATCAAGGCATCTTTTGGTACGTTGGACTCTCATAAAAAACAACAATTGTATGCGTGTTTATACTACAACACTCCCGGGATGGTTGATCTCCTAGAAGGTTATGCCAATAGGACAAAACCATGAGATTTTAGGCCAAAGTATACTACTTATGTTTTGAGGGATTGGGTCATCTTTTCCAATATGCACCAAGAAAGGCGGGTACGAATCTTCTCCACATCATGCCAATAAAAGGTATATATGAGTCAGTTGCATAAGAGAATTATGCAAACAATGGAATTTCACTACGATTTTAGAACAATGTGCTCAAGTACTCAATAATCAGTGCGATTACCTTGTTTTTTTTATTAGGCTTGCATGTACAATGGGTTAGCGATGATGAAATGCATGCACAATTTTTTTTCTTTTTATGATTTTCTTTATTTTCTTTATTCTCCTTTTTTTCATTCCTCTTTTTCTTGTTCTCTATATAAATAAGGGAGAGAATAAAAGAGAGACATAGAATGAGAGTAAAGCACAAACCTAAATCAAACAAAATCTTGAATCCCATTTCTCCGCAATTTGGCTTTAAATTCCTAAGTCTTAACGATCCCTTCTTCTCTTTCATACCCTGTCAGCCTGATTGAGGCCTTCTTCAGCAAGCTGCCTCATGATCTCTGATTGATGTCTTTCAACAAGCTCCCATGTAAGAATTCTTGCGTCACTTGCCACCAAATTTTTTGACGCCTTCTAGCAGCTCCCGAGCATGACTTGCTTTTGTTACGACAGATGATTTACAGAGTTCAGGTAAGAGAGGAAAGAACGGGAGACATCACGAGAGATTTAGTGAGCTTTTTTTATATGAAGTGAGGCTGAATGATAACACTCTTTTTTTAGTGGGGTGAGGAGCGACTGAGCGTATGGGCTCGATATGGGCCATAGATACAATAAGTAAGTGGAATTTTTTGAACTTCTTTTTCCTCCTAAATTTGTGAGTCAACAAATACCCCCTAAGAAACATAGCATACTCTTGAAGCAGATCATATTTGTTAGAAATAAGATGGCCTAAGAAATATGGTGTACTCTTGAAGCTTATCATATTTGTTATAGTTTAGTTGACCTTATGAATCTCGAAAAGTTTTGTTGATCCTTTAAATATTCTTGGATGTCAATGTAGATGAGTATGAGTTTAACTTTGGCATGTAGATATATATATTTTCATCAGCCTGTCTTTCACTTTATCTTTATGTATCTTGATATATCATCTTTCCTAATATAGAATATTTTTATTTTATTACTTATGTAAAAAATTTTTAGCTTGAAATGTTAAAATGTCACGCAACAAACCGATCAAGGAATAAATTTGGGCCATGATAAATAGGTACAATCCTCAAGGGATCATTGAAGTTGAGGATACGCCTCAGCAATATGAGGAGATGCTAAGAGGACATAACTTCTATGATGATTTTCTTACCCAATCTTTCACCCTTCAATCTATAGGGATCTTGTAGACTGAGCAATTGCTATCAATGTGAAATGCGGGAAGTAGAATTCACTGGAGAGTACGGTTGACTCGATAAAATATTGGATATGCGGCATGTTGCAACCAACAATTTAATGTGGTTGAACAATCTTGCAATTGAGATTAATGAGTCTTCATTATTTTCAATCTGGTTTAGCAAAATAGCCTTGAGATTTTTCATTGGGATGACTTCTTAATCTTGTACGTGGATATCTCCCCTAGAGTAGATATATTTTATCGGGCACAAAAATAATTTGAAGGAGGTAAGCGTTTATGAAGCCATATATGCCTCAATGTTCAACTTTGAAAGCATCCTTACTTCATGAGTTAAAGGAGTTGTTGAACTCTGAGCTCGTACCTACAATACCCATTGAAAAGGCTC